GGCAGGAATTAATGATGTGAAATCTATGTCCTTGTCACTTCTGGTTCTCGCACCTGGGTGAGATCCTACATGCCACCATTATTCCCAAATGGAAAGGTTTAAGGGTTGGAAAAGTTTAAAAAAAACCCCAAACTGCCACAAAACTGGGTTTGAGGTTTTATAATCTTGCTCTTTTTCCTTGGAATTGCTAAGAAATGCCTCAAGACGTGAATTAATTCCTGTCCCCTTTCCATGTTTTTCCCAGGCAATTCGGATTCTGGTTCAGGAGCGCCTGACACAGGATGCCATAGCCAAGGCCAGCCAGTCCAAGGAGGTTTGTACCCATGGCCAGGCTTAATTATTCCATGCTAATTAATGAAGATAAAGCTCTGTCCCCTCAGTCAAAACCACTTCTGTTCCAACACTTCATTTAGGAGGATGGTGGCAGCTTCATTTATCCCAGCCATGCTGATTCCAGCAGATCTGGGGGTTTTGGAGAGCAGGACACAAAGCTGGGTTGGTTCCATGTGAATGCAAATACACCTCAGTGAGAAATCATGGAATAACTCTTCTCTGAGTTATTTCCCACAGGATTATCCTGACTGCTCAGTGCAGCAGGCCTGTAGAGTGAGGAGAAATGCATGTCCTGGCTTTTCCTTGGAATTAACAGTGTTGGCTGCATAAAGAAGTTGAAATATTCCTTGTTTGGAGTGATTTTATTTTCATATGGACACCTCATATGTGTTCAAGGGATGGGATGTTGGAAATCCAGCTCCTCCCTCCTCTCTTCCCCCCCAAAAAAAAGGAGCAGTGAAGGAAATTTCTGCCCTTAAAGTCAGATTTTTACAGAATTCTTTGCTAACCACAAGCTGTCTGTTGGGAAGGTGTTCTAGGGGATGGCTGTGGGTTTTTAGTTTGGGATTTCCTCATCATTCCAGATCTTTCCAGCATTTGGCAGAGCTGGGAAAAGCTGGGAAAGGCAGCCTCACCTGCCCTGCAGGTGTAGGAGTGTCCCTGCTAAAGCAGCTGGATCTGCTCAAAGAGCCCAAATTCCTTCATTTTTCTGGCAGCTGCTCACAACAATCCATGATTTATTTATTTCTTTATTTATTAATCAAAGCTTTGGACCTGCAAACCCATAAAAGTGTTCAAAGAGCAGGAAAATAGGAAAGCAACTGATCCTGTTGTCTTCACTTTAAGGTTCTGTAATGTTAATAAAAAGCAGCTTTTAGTTGTTGTTTTCATAGCTGCACAGCTGGGATCAAAATGGGATTTTCTTGGAGGAACAGGGAATTTTTATTTTTTTTTCCTGCCAGGGAATTGTTAATTTCTGATAGATCTTCAAAGCATCAGCAGGGCTGAGAGGTCTCTGTCTGGGAGATAACCTGGGAGTGCCACATTCCAAGGGGTGTGAAGAAAAGGGAGTGGTGAGAAGCAGGAAAGTCTGTGCCAGGAGGGACCATCAACATCTTCATGTGCCAGGGGAAAAAAAAGGAAATATCTCCAAAGCAGGGAGGATGGCTGCCTTGGGAATTTAAAATAAATAAATAAAAGAAAATTAGATTTATTCTTCAGGTTTTGACTGATTGGTAAATGGCCACATTTTTGTGCAGCATTCATAAATCAGATTTGTAGGGAATGAGGCTGGAAGTGAAGTTGTGTGTGTAGTTCCTGATGCAAAGGTGCTCTTTTTTTTCAGTTTATTCCCTGTTGGAAGAATCATGAGCTTGGTGTAGTATGGGCTGAGGGGATTCCAAAGGCAGCTTCCCAAAAAGGGTCAGACTCAGGGAGTGTGGGAAGAAGGGAGGGTAAGGAATTTCCTGCTACCAGGTGACACTGGGGGAACTCATCCACAAAGAACTGTCAGAGAAAAAAAAAGACAAAAAAATGACAATTTTTCCTCAGTAACACCCCAGGCTGGCAGAGACCTTAAGTACAAACCTCAGTTCTTAAAAAAAAAAAAATTCTTGTAGGAAGTCTGATATTTCTGGAATCTTTCTGAAGTGGCTTCAGTGGCATTTTGATCACCAATTTTAACAGTGGATATAGATTTTTAAGATTGCCTTGAACATGGATTTTACTATAAAGGCCATGGAAAAACCCCACTTTTTGCAAATGAGTTGCAGCCACCAGTTTGTGTTTAATGTGTGTTCTGATCAGCTCAGATTCTTTTTTTTTTCTCCATGTGTATAAAAGCCTTTAAAGGAAATTTTCACTGTCTAAAAGCTTTACAGCCCCATCCCTGCAGAAATTAATGATATTGAACTCTGATGTTTTTGTTGTGCAGAATGCAAGGCTTTTGGCAAATGTTGAAAAAACTCACTGAGGGTAATAAAAGCAAATTCTGGGATTTGGAATGTTTGAATCTAATTTTAAGTGCATGCTGAAGCTCCCTGAGTAAAGATTTAGTGTGACCACTCCTCTGCAGCTGGACAAAGGAAACAGAGCAATCCTTAGAAACAACCACTAATAAATTTTACCTTGGAGTGTTTCAATAGAGAAAATGTTTAGAAAGTGGAATATTTCCCTTTATTCCTGAGCTTAACACTTGAGCAGATGCTTCTGGGGATGTTGTGAGCTCAGCAAAACTTGATTACAGAGAATTTCTGCAGCTCTGTGCAATCAGCCCCTGCTCAGAGGCTGGCAGCTGTTGAAAGGCAGAAGTTTCTAAGAAAGTTTTGTTTTCCTGGGAAGCTGCAGGATTGGGTGATGGCTCCCAGTCCTGCTGTTGGCCTTTTAAGGATTGAATGCAGGCACTGTGTATCCAGTGAGGGATTCTTAAGCAGGAAGATTTTTCTGTAATAATACCCTGGGTTTGGTGTTTCAGGACACAAAGGGAGTTGTTTAATCAACTTTTCAAACTTTTCACACATTTTTGTCTAAGCAAAACCCATATTTTCTCCCTCAGTTTCCTGCTGCAGTGCTTGATTTGATTTACCATACATTTAAATGACATTTTTAACAGGTTTTTTTCCCTTTTCCAGGGTCTGCCTGTTGCTCTGGAAAAGCACATTCTTGGATTTGACACGGGAGGTGAGCACTGCTCCTAATGTGACTTTTAAATGGGAATGTTTGCCTTTGACAGAGTTATTACTGTCAAACCCAGAGCTGATGTGGACAGTAAAAAACCCTGCAGTGGAAAGAATTCCTCCCTCCCAGCTGGTTATTTATGAGCATCCCTGAGCATTTTGGGTTTGGAACAGCCAAGCCTCAATCCAATCTGTTTGGAATCTGTTGAAATAACAGCTTTTAGTGCAGCCCAAGGAATGCATCCTGCTGGTGGTGAATCCTGCTGCTGCCAGCAGAGGACAGCTCTGCTGCTGCCTCTGCCTTCCTCACATCCCATCCAGGCAGCTCAGGGTGGCATCACCTGGGGGGTTATTGATAAATCCGATGGGTTATTGGTAAATCTGATGGGTTATTGATAAATCTGATGGGTTATTGGTAAATCTGATGGGTTATTGATAAGGAACAGCCAGCCAGGTGACCTGGGGCTCCATGAGTTTGGCTTCACTTCTGCTCCACATCACTCAAATCACTGCTTGGAATGTTTCACACCAACCTTGGAGTGGGAGGTTGGAATGAGATGATCCTGAAAGTCCTTCCAGCCTAACCCAGCCTTTTGGTTTTTAAAAATTTAGTAATTTTTATTCATTTTTATTGTAATGTGGATATTTTTGATTCATAAGTTATTATATTTATCTATTTTTATTACAATATTTTAAATTTTAATTTGCTATATAGTTCTATTTTATGTTATAAATTTTATTATAATATTAACAATCTTATATTTTCGTTACGAATTTTTATTATATTTAAAATTTTTATTTATTTTATATAATTGTATTCCTGTGTTATAATTGTTATTATTTTATTAATATAGTTCTTTATTTAATGTATATTTTTATTTCTAATTATAGAAGTACAAGTTTATGATTTTTTTTAATTTGTATGTTTTATTTTTATATTAATTCAAGCTTTTTAGGGGTTGCGAATTAATTTTTTTGTGTTTATGGAAGGTTTTTTGGGGAGCTTTTGGGGATTTTTTTTTTTGTAATTTTTTCTTGGTTTGGGTTTTCTTTTGTTTTTTGGGGTTTTGGTTTGGGGTTTTTTGGGGATTTTTTGTTTGTTTAGGGTTTTTTTTTGTTTTGTTTTTGGTTTTTTGTTGTTTTTTTTTGGTTTGGTTTGAATTTGGTTTGTTTTTTGTTTTTTTCTATTAAAAAATTTTGCTTTCATGATTCCCTCATTCCCTGAGCCCGGGCTGCAGGATGGTGGGGAAGCTTTGGATGCCACCCCACCCCTCTCCATTCTTCTCTCTCTCCACCCTGAAAACCACCAGCAGGAACACCATGCAGAGCACTAAAACTTCCTTCAATCCCTCCTATGAGCTGAAAAATGCTGGATAAAACGCTGGATGAAATGATAAATAATTCCAGCTCCTCTCTGTGCCCCTCCCCAGATGCTGTTATCAACGAGGCTGCCCAAATCCTGCGCCTGCTGCACATCGAGGAGCTGCGGGAGCTGCAGACCAAAATCAACGAAGCCATCGTGGCCGTCCAGGCCATCATTGCTGACCCCAAGACTGACCACAGACTGGGCAAAGTGGGCAGATGAAGGCAGGAAAGCTTCCAGCCCCTGCCTGCTCAGTGCAATTAGGAACAGCTCCGCCCTGGCATGCAGTTTGAAACGGGATTAATTGGCCTGGTTGGGAAAGAAAACAGGAAATTGAATTCTGACTTCTGATGAATTACCAGATTTTTCTTTAAATAAATGAAATCGAGGGAAACAGATTGTTCTGGTGAGCTCTGAGTTGGCAAATAGGACTTGTTTGTGTGTGTGTGTGTGTGTGTGTGACTCTTTTGCATTGTGTTTGGCTTCGTGTGGAGGGGAATGTTACATAAAATCTTCTTTTCCTGAGGTCCTGCCCTAGGAACAGCTTGCTGCTGGCTTGCTTGCTGCTTCCCCGTGCTGAAATATTCCCCTACAACTGAAACAGTGAAAAACTGAATCCAAAGGGCAAATTTAAACCAACCTTTTTTATTCAATTATTGAAGTAACCTAGAAAAAGTGAAGCATTACAACGTAACTGGTATTTCTGAACATGTCTGCACTGGGTAGGTCTAGGAAGGCACTTGGAAGACCCAACAAGCATGAACAGATCAATTCTAGCATATTCTTCTAATATAAATACTAAAAGACATGCATGGAGGCAGTGGTGAAAACACAGAATCATCCTCTGGAAAATCTTCAGTGCCTTTGCCACATCCCATCCCTGTTCTGCAGGATTTTGGAGCACACGCAGTCTCTGTCTTCAGGGCAGTTTGTTAATTAGACCCAGCAATTTACTGCAGCCACAGCTTCCCACAGGCACTTGATTTCTTATTTTTGGATAAAAGGACCTCTTGGTCAGATTGTCAAAACTATGAAAAATTAATCCATTCTTCTTCCAATAAAATAAAGCATTGGAGTAGAAAAAAAAAGCTACATTTTAAATCTTGTATGAGCGAGAGTTCGAGTCATGGCTTGAGCTTCCCAGGATCGTGTTTTTTTTTTTTTTTGGTGATATCTCAACATTTTCCACTTGGTAAAAAAATACAGTAGTAAAGTCTTGAGGTATAACTATAAAAAATACTTGAAAATCTTTTGCAGGAAAGCAGGGCACTTCATTGGCCTTGGTGAGGGACTTCTTCCCCCTTGTTTGCAGTGACAGTTCTCTGGGTCTGAAATTCCTCTGGGTGCAAAGATCCTTGTTCCCTTGAAAATGGAGTTACTATTTCCTGGCTGTGGGGAGAAACGGAGATTTTTAGCGTGAAGTGAAGATTTTTCAGGCACCCAGCAGCCATCAGAATTCCCAAGGGGATGGGGTTTGGGTGGGTTTTACCTCCAGGGCAGTAGGGATAAACTGCTGTGATTCCGTAGAGGTGGGATCGCTGCTCTGGAAGATACTCATCAGTGAAGGAGCCTGTTTCTTTATTTACAGCTATCACCCCATCCCTGGTGAAAAAAGGGGAAGAAGTGTTTTATTCACCTATGAAACTTGGAGGGTTTTCCCCTATTTATGTGTGTTTAAGAACAGGCAGCTGAAAATCTTGCTCTGAACACCTGCAGGACAAGTGGAAAGAGATTTGCCCTGCCTGTAAAATCCTCCTCCAGCTCAGCCAGTGCATTTCTCTGTGGTGATGCAGCCACAGAAAAGAGCCTTCCAAGGAGAGATTATCTCCCTGAGAGTCTCCTCCAAGCGTGGCAAGCCCTTAAGTGTTTGTTGTAACCCAAGATTGGATGGGAGCTGTGAGAGCTTCCAGCTGGAGCGGGAAGAGAGGCAAGTTCCTGCTGCCGAGGCAAAGGGAACGGCTGAGGACAGGATCTTTCCTTGGACCTGATCTACATCCAGAGACTTCAGCCAAGTTTCAGTTCAAAAAAAAAAAAAAACAAACCCAAACCACTCTTTCTGTCCCTCCCAGGGAGCTGGGCTTGTGTCTAAACAACTCCTCCGTGCTGAGATTTACAAGCAGGTGTTGCTGAAGCCACGCTCGGAGACCCACACGAGCTCTGGCGAGCTCTCAGGATTTGGGAGCAGGCTGGGATTCCTCTCAGGGAGGGGAGCTGAGCATTCCCAGGCTGCAGGGGGTGGGTTTTTCCCTCCTCACCGTCTCCAGTCCGTGTGGTAGAAGTGGTTGGCGTAGCTGATGATGCTGAAGGGGTAGTTGAGGTTGCTCTGGATGACGCGCCGGCCGGTGCCGTCCGGGAATGTGCATTCCAGGTGCTTGGTGCCTGTTCAAACACAAAATATCCCCCATCCCACTGGAAATGCCACACCAAATATGTTCTTGGTATTTCACAGACTCACAAGGATCACAGGACACCCCATCAATCCCACTCTGGGCATCCCTGGCAGCTCCTGGAGCTCTGGCAGCCTCGGGGCTGTGCCCATTCCCTGGGGAGCCTGGGCAGTGCCAGCACCCTCTGGGGGAAGAACCTTTTCCTGATTTACTGCATTTTGAAACAGCTTTTCAGCATGAAGATGTAGAATCATAAAATTCAGGGTTGGAAAAACTCCCTAAGACCAAGTCCAGCCATCTCCCAGCACTGCCAAGGCCACCACTGCTCCATGTCCCCACATGCCACATCCACACAGCTTTTAAATCCCTCCAGGGACAAGGACTCTACCACTGCCCTGAGCAACAACATTTTCCATGAAGAAATATTTCCTAAAATCCAATCTAAACCTTGGCTGGCACAACTTTGGAGGCCACAGGTAGCGCTGGGCTGAAGACACCCAGGATTTTCCCTCGAGGCCCAGTTTGACATTCTCTGATCCATCCCAGGGGACATTACCTGCGTCTGCCCAGCACAGCAGCTTGGAGAAGGGGTCAAAAGTCAGGCCATTGGGCAAACCAATGTCTGTGTGCACCAGAACCCTCCTGTTGGCTCCATTGACAGTGGAAGTTTCGATTTTGGGAGCTTCGCGATTCCAGTCCGTCCAGTAAAGGTTGCTTGGGAAATAACGCACAAACAGGGCACACAACAGTAAGGAGTGGTGGGAGATTATCCTGGTTCTTGCCAGGAGCAAGGCCTGGTTTTTCCCCTTATCAGTGCCTGAACCATCTTTATTTGATTAGGAAAAAACCTCTCCAAACAAAGCAGAGCGGTATCAGACATGTTTATGACCCAAACTGCAGCTCCTCGATGAGGGCGAGTCTGAGGAGCAGCACATTTTGTATCCCAACAGCAGCACCCTGGAGGCAACAGCTCTTCAAAATAATCTACATCCTGATACTGAAACAGCAGTTTTAGCCAGATCTCAAATTATTCAATAAAAAGAGAGGCTGGGGAGCAGAGCCAATCCCTCCTACAGGACAAGGTCAGGACAGGACCCGTAGCAGGCTGAATTGCTGCTAGCATAGTCCAGGGTAAGGAAGCAAAAAGGACCTTTGCATAACATGCACAGATGTTTTATTCAGCCACGTGGTGAGATGATCAGCACCCACACATGGAGAGTCTAAGTTTCTCTCTGCCAAGGGGCCTGGGGGGTGAACCTGGTCTTGGGGCAGTAAAAAGATGAGGGCCAGTCAGGGAATAGGGAAGGAGTGGCTCAGGGACACAGGAACAGACACAGGAACGGGGGAAGGAGCCAATGGCGTGGAACAGCTTTTTGAGGGAAGTTCCTTGCGTCTCCCAAAAGCAGGAAATGCCCCCCCAGGCTATCCCCAGCAGCCTCGGCACCTTGCAAAGCCCAACCCCCGAATCCCTGCGGGGTTTGTGCCGCTCACCCTCGCACGGGGTCCACGGCGATGGCGCGGGGGTTGACGAGCTCGGTGTCGAAGAGCACGCGGCGCTCGGAGCCGTCCAGCCGGGCCCGCTCGATCCTGTCCAGGCCGCTGTCCGTCCAGAACATGGCCCGGCGCAGGTGATCCACGGCCAGGCCCTCGGGGCTGATCAGGCCTGCTGGGAGATGGCCACGTAAAATCCAGAAATGCAGACAAGTTTGCAAATTTCTAGCTCGGCGCCCCACTGCCTGCCAGTGCGACTGGAAACAAACGGAGGCCATTTTCCGCGGGAAAAAGGAGTCATTTCTCCAGGGTCTGGTATCAGCTCAGAGGTGGCCTTTGGGTCTCAAAGGACTTGCAGGGTCCTCATTGCTGGCAGCTTTAGTTTTGGAGAAATCCAGCAAAGTTTGCAAATTTTAAGCATGGCAGCCCACCATCTTCCTGGGCGCAAAGGGAGGCCACATTCCATGGGAAAAAGATGTCCTTTCCCCAGGGTCGGGGTATCAGATGAAAGGTGGCCTTTGGGGCTCGAAGGACTTGCAGGGTCCTGGTTGCTGGCAGCTTTAGTTTGGGAGAAATCCAGTAAAGTTTGCAAATGGAATTTTGGTGGGGAAATGCTGCTCTGGGATCCCTCAGGCATCTCCAGCCCAAAGGCGAAGGGTGGTGATGCCTTAAGGTTTTAGCTTTTATAATCTTCATGTATTTGTAATCCTGTAATTTTTTAGTGTATAAATGTAAATTACAGTTTGAGCTGCTGCTTTCCCTTTTTGGTCAGACACAACAATTCCTCTCCAGGCCTGGGAATCAAGGACACCTCACTGCCTCAGGCACCAAGAGGTGTTAACAAAAGTGAGTTGGGGATGGAGCAAACCTGGGGTAAATCACTTCATTACCTGAAGCTGTAATTGAAACATTAACCCCCAATATACAAATGGACCAAACTTATAAAAGTGTGAAAATTGTCCATGTTTTGGGTGTAGCCCCTGAGTGGGCTTTGTCTGCCCAAAATATACCTGAAGGACCTTCACTAAATATAAATATAACTGCTTTTTATTCCCTTAATTTTTAGGTAACCCGATAAGGCACCAACGGGAGGAGCCCGGAGCTGCGATGGGAAGAGCAGATGTGGCTCTGGGCAGGTGACACTGGGGACAGGAGCACACCTGAGCTGATGATGGTCTCTGGCTCGGAGCCTGGCTCCAGGCCCGCCCGGCTGATGGTCCGGCCAGCCACGTCAGTCCAGTAGATCATCCTCTCCCGGCAGTCGTAGTCAATCCCCACCACGATGGAGCCCTGCCAGGGTCGGGAGAGGAACACGGGGTGAAATCCTGCCAGGAGGCTGAGGGAGAAACCTCAACCCATCAGCTGGCAGTGAGAGCTGCCTGGGAGATGCTGAAAGTGGGAATGACACTCAAATCCCATTTCCCCAGTAAAACTCTGCTCTGTTCCCACTGCACCTTCCCAGCTGAGGATTTTAGGCCAGCTGGTGCAGGCTCACACCCACATCCAGATGGATTTGAACCCTTTGCCTGAAGGAAAGGGTGCTCCAAGAGCAAAGCCAGCCCGGGGAATGACCTTTAGGATGGGGAGAGGGAATACTTGGCATGGTCCTTCACTTCCCCAGGGTGCAGGGAGGGTCCTGGCCCAGATTCCAGTGTTCCTCTGCCTTGGTCTGGCCTGACTGGAGAGGCACATGGCCGTGCTCCGAGGGGAGTCCAAGGAAGGAAAAAAGGCCAGCCCTGCAGCTGGAAGTCTGGGCTGAAGCCAACCCTGGAGAGCTCTGGGGGCACCTTCATAAGCAGTCCCAGGTCTGGGACCTGTCTAAGACCTGTCTCTCTGCTGGGGATGGCTGGAGGGAGGTGAAAATAGAATCCATAGAATCCCAGAATGGCTTGGGTTGGAAGGGACCTTAAAGATCATGGGCAGGGACACCTTTCACTAGCCCAGGCTGCTCCAACCAGGTCTTGGACACTTCCAGGGATTGGGGCAGCCACAGCTTCTCTGAGCACCCTGTGCCAGGGCTTTCCCACCGCCCAGTCAATAATTTCATTCCAATATCCCATCTAACCCTGCCCTCTGTCACTGGGAAGCCGCTCCCCCTCATCACTTGTCCAAAACGCCACCAAGGCAGCCAGCACAGCCAATGTCCCCAAACACCAGCATCAACCCTCAAGAGGTGACCCCCAAAAACCCTGACAAGCGCTTCAGACAGAGGTGAAACCACCCAGTGGCAGCACCAGCCTGTCCCAAGCCCCCTCGGTGCTCCTGCACCCCATCCCCGCCCCAAGGGTACCGTACATGCAGGGAGAGCAGGGTCTTGGCCGCCTCCTTCTGCAGCCGGGTGCCGTTCAGCGGCAGGTAGCCGATCTGCTGGCCCTGGGCGTACAGCAGGAATGTCCCCGCGCCCGGTGGGGACACGTCGGGCCGGGGCTCAGGTCGGACGCTGGGCGGGGCGACACTGGGCAGACCTGGCACGTGGAGGGGACAGAGATGGCTCAGGAAGCGTCGTCCCCTGGGCTCCACGCCCGGAGCAGGGCGCGGTGCCCGCGCTGTCGGTGCTCAGGGTCACTTTGGGGCGCTGGGCTCTTACAGGGCGGGGTGGTGCCGGGCTCGGAGCGCGTCCCCGGGATCTCCCTGCCGCTCTGCTCCACGCACCAGCAGTAGCCGCTGTCCCCGTGGCACTGCAGCGGGGTGAAGTCCCCGCTGGGGTCACACTGTGGCACGTACTGGTCCCCGCGGGGGCTGCCCCCGTAGTGCTCCAGCAAACTCTGCCGCCAGCGCTCGCACATGCTGGGGGGCCTCTCCGTGGGCTCTGGCATGGCAGCTTACGGTTCCCCTCCACTCGCTGTGGCCCCACTGTCCCCACACTGCTGGCAAGTGAAGTGGGAAGCCACTGGGACACCAGCCAGATGCCCAAGGATACAGGGCGGGGTGGTGCCGGGCTCGGAGCGCGTCCCCGGGATCTCCCTGCCGCTCTGCTCCACGCACCAGCAGTAGCCGCTGTCCCCGTGGCACTGCAGCGGGGTGAAGTCCCCGCTGGGGTCACACTGTGGCACGTACTGGTCCCCGCGGGGGCTGCCCCCGTAGTGCTCCAGCAAACTCTGCCGCCAGCGCTCGCACATGCTGGGGGGCCTCTCCGTGGGCTCTGGCACGGCAGGGTGACAGTCACCACCCTATTCGGGGGACTCAGGGCTTGGCAGAGCCCCGTGTCCCCCTCTCCCTGCTGGCTGTGTCCCCCTGGGCACTGACCTGGGCTCCCGCAGCGTGGCGGGGTGGTGCCCGGTGCCGTCCGGGTGCCGGCGATCTCCTGCCCGCAGCCAGATGCCCAAGGACCCGACCCTGCTCCCCTCACCCCTGGGGGGTGTCACTGACCTGGGCTCCCGCAGCGTGGCGGGGTGGTGCCCGGTGCCGTCCGGGTGCCGGCGATCTCCTGCCCGGCGGCGTCCACGCACCAGCAGTGCCCGGAGCTGCCGTGGCACTGCAGGGGCCGGTACCGGCCCTGCTCGTCGCACTGGGGCACGTGGCCATCGCCCACGGGTGACGGCCCTGGTGGCACCTCCCGAGGGTACATCCGCGCGTGCTCGCAGGGCGTCAGCTGCTGGATGGACTCTGCCGGCGGTAAACACCCCCAACCCGGGCTCAGGGGGTGCCACCAGCTCCCCTGGAGCCCCTGGCACCTTGGCATCACTTGTCCCCTGTCTACCAGCACCCCTTGGTCTGGGGTGGCGGCCAGGGCTGCCCCACTCCAGCCCCCTCGACACCCCACTGCTGTTCCCTCCATCACAAGTTGACACAGGAGGTGGCCCAAAGGCCACAGCCACTGTAACCCAACGGGCCAGGGCACCCTAAACACCCAGGAGCCCCTCGATGCACCCACTGGACAGCACCCTGCCCACGGTGAAGCCCCAGAAGGCTTCACTGTGAAGAAGAACCACCCAGAAGGGTGGTTGAGCGGGGGGTCACAGAGTGACAGAATCCTTAGGGTTGGAAGGGACCTCTGGAGATCCTCCAGTCCAACCTCCCTGCCAAGGCAGGGTCACCTGGAGGAGGTGACACAGGAATGTGTCCAGGTGAGTTTGGAATATCTCCAGAGAGGGAGACTCCACACTCTCCACACTCTCCCTGGGCAGCTTTTCCATGGCTCTGCCACCCTCAGTATTAGGAAATTCTTCCTCGTGCTGAGGTGAAACCTCTTAAGTTTTAATTTATGGCTGTTTAGCTTACGGTTCCCCTCCACTCGCTGTGGCCCCACTGTCCCCACACTGCTGGCAAGTGAAGTGGGAAGCCACTGGGACACCAGCCAGATGCCCAAGGACCCGACCCTGCTCCCCTCACCCCTGGGGGGTGTCACTGACCTGGGCTCCCACAGCGTGGCGGGGTGGTGCCCGGTGCCGTCCGGGTGCCGGCGATCTCCTGCCCGGCGGCGTCCACGCACCAGCAGTGCCCGGAGCTGCCGTGGCACTGCAGGGGCCGGTACCGGCCCTGCTCGTCGCACTGGGGCACGTGGCCGTCACCCAGGGGTGGCACCTCCCGCGGGTACATCCGCTCGTGCTGGCAGGGCGTGAGGCGCTGCGGGTTCCCTTCCGCCGCTGGAAAGCCAGAAAAGAGGAGAGTGAGGCTGGGGAAGCCGTGCCAGGCAGAAAGGGCACGGGGCTGAGCGGGCACCTCACCGTACGTGCACTGGGAGCCGTCGCCCGCGTAGCCGGGCCGGCAGCGGCAGGAGAAGGAGCCCGGGGTGTTGTAGCAGATGGCGGCCGGGTGACACGGGCTTTCGGCACACTCATCCACGTCTGTGCAGGGGGAAGATGGCATCAGCGGGGACAGGGACACCCCGACAGCTGCGCTGTGGGCTCCCTCCTGTGCCCACCTTACCGGAGCAGTGGATGCCGTCGCCGGTGTAGCCGGGGAGGCACTCGCAGGTGGCGCGGCCGTCACCGCGGGACAGGCACCGCGCCCGGTCCGCCGGAGCGCAGGGGTGCCGCCCGTCCTCGCAGGGGTCACTCGGCGGTGCCAGCTTTTCCATGGCTCTGCCACCCTCAGTATTAGGAAATTCTTCCTCGTGCTGAGGTGAAACCTCTTAAGTTTTAATTTATGGCTGTTTAGTTTACGGTTCCCCTCCACTCGCTGTGGCCCCACTGTCCCCACACTGCTGGCAAGTGAAGTGGGAAGCCACTGGGACACCAGCCAGATGCCCAAGGACCCGACCCTGCTCCCCTCACCCCTGGGGGGTGTCACTGACCTGGGCTCCCACAGCGTGGCGGGGTGGTGCCCGGTGCCGTCCGGGTGCCAGCGATCTCCTGCCCGGCGGCGTCCACGCACCAGCAGTGCCCGGAGCTGCCGTGGCACTGCAGGGGCCGGTACCGGCCCTGCTCGTCGCACTGGGGCACGTGGCCGTCACCCAGGGGTGGCACCTCCCGCGGGTACATCCGCTCGTGCTGGCAGGGCGTGAGGCGCTGCGGGTTCCCTTCCGCCGCTGGAAAGCCAGAAAAGAGGAGAGTGAGGCTGGGGAAGCCGTGCCAGGCAGAAAGGGCACGGGGCTGAGCGGGCACCTCACCGTACGTGCACTGGGAGCCGTCGCCCGCATAGCCGGGCCGGCAGCGGCAGGAGAAGGAGCCCGGGGTGTTGTAGCAGATGGCGGCCGGGTGACACGGGCTTTCGGCACACTCATCCACGTCTGTGCAGGGGGAAGATGGCATCAGCGGGGACAGGGACACCCCGACAGCTGCGCTGTGGGCTCCCTCCTGTGCCCACCTTACCGGAGCAGTGGATGCCGTCGCCGGTGTAGCCGGGGAGGCACTCGCAGGTGGCGCGGCCGTCACCGCGGGACAGGCACCGCGCCCGGTCCGCCGGAGCGCAGGGGTGCCGCCCGTCCTCGCAGGGGTCACTCGGCGGTGCCAGCGCTGTGGGGACAGGGGAGGGGTGGTCAGGGCACGTCCGTGGGGCACGGGATGGGGGGACACCCCAGCTGGGGTCAGCACTTACGCACACACGCCTGCCCGTCCCCCGCCGGCTGGTACCCGTCGCGGCACTCGCAGCGGTAACTGCCCGGCACGTTCAGGCACACGGAGAAGGGCCCGCACTGGCTCAGGCCCTCGGCACATTCGTCCACATCTGGGGAAAGGAGGAGACACCGGGCACCCCGATGGTGGTGGGACACCCCCACCTTCGTGGTCTGGCTGCTTCATGGTCTGACAGAGAATATCCTGCCCATCCCATGTCTGTCACTGAACTTAATCAACTACGGAATTAACTTTCTAATCAGCTCAAAATAGAAGGGAAAAAAGAACAAGATCGCTTTTGGTGTATAGTTTTGACAAAGAAGCATTTGTTCAAGGCACACCAATATTCTCAGCTATTTGTGGTTTAAAACTTGGTTTCCTTCTCCTGAAATTAAGTGATCAGATTGGTCACTTAAGCTGGGATTTTAGGAGAAGGAAACTTGTTCCTTATTGAAAGGCAGGATCCTCAAATTCCTCGCCAGCATCACTGTGCAGTACAACTCACTGGCACTGGGCAGCTTCTTGTGGAAAGAGACTCTAAAATAAAATTTGCAATGTGAAGTTTGGAGTGATAGGAAAGCAACAACAAAGCTGGCTGGATTTATGAAATGCAGGAATTATTCTTCAACTGCTTTTGCTTTTTTCCTGTATCTCCTTTTTTCCCTCCTCTTTTTTGTCTGCTCCTGGAGCGCTTCCCCAGCGACCTCCAGCACCCTGCCTCAGTTTCCCCCCATGACGCATCCCTGTGCTTGGTGAAGCTCTGTGGGCACCAGAGCTCCCCCCCAGCTCCCCCCCAGCCCCACTGACCTCGGCAGCCCTGTCCATCTCCGCGGTACCCGGCTGCACACTCGCACGTGTACTCTGTGCCCACGCCGGGCTGGCAGCGCGCCGGTGCCTCGCACGTGTGGGAGCCATCGTGGCACGGGCTCACCCCGGGATTCTCGGCGTCGTCTGCGGGCACACAGGGATGTTGGGGGGGAATAAAAGATCTGGGAGACACAGAGAGTCACTTACACCCCACTTACACCCGATGCAGGCATCACCACTGCGCTGCAGCGCCGCTGTCCCATGCAGGGAACCACGGCCATGCCACCCCCACCACGCCAGCAGCGCTGCACTCAAACTGCTTGGAAAACCCCTCCTTTTTGGCTGATTTTGGGCAAAGCCAGCACACCGCAGCTTTGGGAGGCGGCGGCATCCCCGCTAGGGGCTGGCACCCTGGATTGGCACCCGGATTGGCACCCGGGGGTGGGTGCTGGCGCTCACCTCGTGCCGGGCCGATGCGGGCGGCCAGGGCGTAGCGCAGGACGTGCTCGTGGCTGTCGAAGAGGGCGAAGGCGCGCGCCACCGAGAGCTGCTGCCGCGCCGGCAGCCGCGAGTGCGGGCACCCCGAGAAGGTGACGTTCTGGCGCAGGCGGTAGGACAAGGTCTGGTTGGCGGTGCCCGCGGCCACCACGTATTCCCGCTGGCCTGAGGATGTCACGGCTGCCGGACGGCACGGAGAACCCCGTGGGATGTGAGAAAAAAGGTGTCAGCATCGATGTGGCTCGGGTGTTTTCGGGCATTCAGGGGTGGTGTGTAGGGTGGGCACAGGTCTCACCTGAGCTGGAGTAGGAGTAGAGTTCCTTGTAGGGAGTGATGTGCACGGTGACATTCTCCGGCAGGAATGGCACCTCACCCTGGATGTGTGTCCTGAGGCTTAAATAATTGTCCGGCCCCAGGCCCTCGGCTGTCTGAGTGACCTGGACCGTCTCCCCACCGGGGTAAAACGTCACCTCCAGGCTCTGGGTGAATTCAGCGCCTGGGCAGGAAAAGGGAACGGGCACCATTTGTAGGGACAACCCCAAAGCATCCTTCCCTGCTACTCCAGCATGGGGGGGTCACAACCAGAGGTGAGCACCAGCTGAGAGAGGGACTGGAGAAACCACAGAGCTGCCCCCCACCCCAAGCAGAAGCCACACCCCTGGGAGCGACGGCACCTCCCAAACCCGCGCTCACCCGTGATGCTGAAGCCGTTCTCCGAGCCAGGCTCCTCCAGGGCGAAGAGCCACGCGAAGAGCCCCCCGACGGGCAGCAGGGGCAGCAGGGCGCGGGCAGCGGGCTGGGGCACGCCGCTGATGGCCGTGTAGGCTCTGCCGTCGCTGCCCACGATGTAGGCGTGCAGGTCCACGTCCTGGAAGCGGACGGACGCCCGTCCCACCCTCAGGCTCCCGCTCACCTTCCCGTTGAGGCGATGCACGGCGCCTGGGTGGGGAGATGGGCACCCCTGGCAGCGGCCACCCAGGCACGGGCTGCCCGTCCCCGCCGCCCGCCCCGCGTACCTTCGGGCAGGCACTGCCGCCCGTTCCCGTAGAACGTGGCCCGGCAGTGGCAGCAGAAGCCGGCGGCGTAGTCGGTGCAGAAGGCGTGAGGGGAGCAGCGCCCGTGGTGCTGGGCACACGTCTCCTTGCTGGCGGCGCTGTAGGTGAACACTGGGGACAAGGGGAAGAGCTTGGGGACACAATGACAAAGCCGCCTTTCACGGGGGGTGGGTGCTTTGCCTTCTTGGCACCCAAAGCGTGGCCTGGAAACGAGCCAGCTGGCAGTGGTGGCTCCCAAGAGAGTCACCCGGGATGCAGAGGGGTGGTGGAGGGTTTGGAACCTGTCGCCTGACTTCAGGCAGATCTGACAGAGGGCACGGGATCAAATTCCTGACGGTATTTTTGGGAGACAGCTGGCTGGGGACAGGGCTCTGCTCCCCCGGGCACGTGGCACGGCGGCTCCACAGCTGGCTCTGTGGCTGGGAGGGTGGCAAGGGCACTTCTGGGACCTGTCCCCTGAGCTTCCCACCCCATCCCAAGCTCCAGGCCTCCTGCTTTTCCCTTGGCACGTCCGGCGGGCAGGGCTGTGCGGCTCTAGCGGGATGGGGCTGACAGGAGGAGCTGCAAGGGCAGCAGCTTTGCAGGAGCGGCTCCTCCAGCACCAGCCACTTGGGACAGGGTGAAATTCCAGCCAGGGGCCTTTTTTAGGGAGCCACCCCCAGTCGGTCACTGTCCCCGCTGGGTCATTGTCCCCGCTGGGTTGTCACAAGGGCTGTGCTCACCGTCGGGGTTGAAATGCACGTCCTCCTCCACGCCCACGCCGTGCTGGCCCGAGCTGTAGGAGGAGGGGTTGGCAGAGAAGCTCTGCCCGGTGCCACCGTCCCCTCTGGGCTGCAGCCAGTGGCTCCGCTCCTGCGTGTCCCTCCTCCCGGGGACAAAGCCCAGGAGCACCGGGCCGTGGGACCCGTGGCTGGGACGCTGGGCCATGGCTGTGTGTCTGGAGAGAGGGTGGGGGTAGCCGGCAGTGCCAGGGTTGGGGTGCTCAGGGGGGCTCTGAGGCACAGCAGGAGCAGCTCCCTCGCCACCCCCTGGCTCCACGTGCTCCGTGCTGCCCACGTGGAAAACCCAGACGCCAGGGATTCCCGTATTGCTCTCCCTGTGGACACAGCACACACGAATGTCACCACAGCCGTGCTGGAAAAGCCACCCCAAAGGTGGCACCACCCCTCCAGGACCCCAATACAGCTCCTGTGCATGTGGGGCTGAGCTCCTGATGCAGCCCAGCACCCCAAGGTCACTCCCCAAATTTTTCCAGGCTCTGAAAGGCTCCGGGGCTGGGAGAAGGTGACCCTGCTCCCCCTGCCCACAGCCACAGCCCCCCAGGTTCCACCCACCTCTCCAGGCTCCTCAGAGCCTGCTCGCTGCTGGCCAGGCTGTGGAAGAGCCCGTCCCTCTTGGGGTCATCGCTGTCCCCCCAGCTGAAGCCCACCCTGGCTGGCAGCTCCAGCTGGACGTTGTAGGACTCCTTGGGTCGCGTCCCCAGGAACTGGAGACCACCCTCAGGGTAGAGGAAGATGGTGTAGGTGTCCTCATCGTTGTAGGCTATGACTGCCTGGAAGGTGTTGAGCTGCCAAAGGGAGAGCAGGACAGATGGATGGCATGGAGGAGCAGGAACAGAGCAGAGTGAAGGAAGGGGAGCAGGGATGTGAGAGGCAGCCCCACACACACCACAGGGCATGCAACCACCCCAAAAGGGCCCTCTGACAGAGAGAACCTCCATGGAGACAGGCTGGGAGGAGAGGAGAAAGGTCCAGGGAGAGCTCAGAGCCCCTGGCAGGGCCTGAAGGGGCTCCAGGAGAGCTGGAGAGGGACCAGGGTCAAGGCAGGGAGGGACAGGACACAAGGAATGGCTTCCACTGCCAGAGGGCAGGGATGGATGGGATTTTGGGAAGGAATCATGCTCTGTGAGGGAGGTGAGGCCCTGGCACAGGGTGCCCAGAGCAGCTGTGGCTGCCCCTGGATCCCTGGAAGTGTCCAAGGCCAGGCTGGACAGGGCTTGGAGCAGCCTGGGATGGCGAAAGGTGTCCCTGCCATGGCAGGGGTGGCACTGGATGTTCTTTAAGGTCCTTCCAACCCAAACCATTCCATGATCATGCAGAGATCTCCTGGGGAAGAGCAGGAGCTGGGGCTGCTCATGCCCAGCCAAATCCCAAGTACCACATCCTGGGAAGATGCCCAGCATCCTCCTAGGAGCCCGTGGCACAGCCAGGCAACTCCCTCAGTGCAAGGGTGTCCCAGGAGCATCCCTGGCCATGGAACCCCTGCACTGGGAGCCCCTCACTCCTGTCCTCCCACTGACACCCCCCTGCTCCATGCCATCAGCACCAGAGGAAAACCCACACCCCCCGGCTCGTCCCTGAGAACAATTTTAGCTCCGTTTCCTCCGGAAAAAACATTCCTGTGCTCCCAGCTTCCCATACATCCCGCTATAGGCAGGCTGGCCGCCTGCCCCGCCAGCCCTGCGAGACTTGGGGCCGTGCCAGGCAGCAGCACCGCGGCCACAACGCCGACAGAGCCCTGCTGAGCCAGGGGCATCCCCCGCACCCCAAAACCTCCGAGAAACCAACCCCGCCGAGCTCCTGCTCCTCCTGCTCCCAGCAGGGAGCCGCAGCCCTTCCCACCGAGCCGCTGGGAGCAGCGCGCAGGGAACGGCGCCCGAGAGAAGGAAAAGTGATTAAATTCCCAGTTTCACCCCCGGAGCAGAGGGAGGGAGGCTGGGGGCTCCCCCCGCTCCACCCCCACAGCGCCAGCCCTGATTTTGGGGCGCAGGGCCCCCGGAGCATCGCTGGATGATTTCCAGGCAGCCCCGCGGGACATAAAGAGCCTTGTTGAGCCTGTCACACACTCGGGCATTCAGAGACCCCGAAAAGGCGGCCAAAAAAGCGGGAGGGGGGTGGAATAACCCCCCTGTCCCCGGGGCTGGATTCCTCCCCCACGCAGCCAAATCGCAGCAGCAGCTGCAGGACTCGTTCTGCCTTGGGGTGGGTGGCCAGGGGGGACACGCCGGGTGACATCGATGCGCTGGCACTGTGGGATGAAGGGAAGGAGGGGGGGAAGCCCCCAGCAAAGAGCTGCAAAGGGCAAATTCCAGCCCAAAAGGGCAAGTTTTGCTCCTACAGAAGCAGGGTCAGCCTGGTCCCGTTCTGCAGCCCGGGAAAATGTCACTGCAGGGACCAGGAGCATGTCCCAAGGAGTTGGAGGGGACACGGCACTGCCAGACCTCCCACCCAGGCAGGACCCCCCCAAAGAGGGGGTTTGGGGATCCTCTGCTCCCCATCTTACCCAGTTTTCTACTTCTGGGGCTCAAAAGGGGTTAGCTGTGACTTTCCAGGGCTGGGGGAAAGGCTTTGGAGTCAGTCCTGGTTCTGAGCAGCAGGAGGGCAGCGTTTCCATAAACACCACATTTGGTCAGGGGAAAAAAAAAAAAAAAAAAAAAAAAAAAAAAAAAAAGGGGGGGTTGGGGGGATTTTTTGAAGTTTTAAAAAGTGGTGTTTGGGGAGATTTTTAGCAGTTTTGGCGAAGGGGGAGCTCAGCAAAGCACAGGCACAAGCTGCATTTAAGGAGCTTTCCCTGGAGCTCCTCGTTTCCTAACAAGACCAGTTTCATTTTAAAGCCTGATCCAAACTTCTCAGAGGGGGAAAAAAAACCAGAACGGGGAAGAGAAAAGAAGAGGAGGCTGCGTTCTCGATGGCCACGAGGTCGCTGTGAGGCCCCTGATGGCATCTCTTCAGCTGTTTTCCCAACTTTTAAATGAGAGGAAAAAATGTGCCTTGTCTCCTTCCAAACCTCAGCTCCTTGCCTTGCTTGGCTTCCCTCTGGGAAAGGCACTACCGAAGGGCCCCGGAGCGGGGGGATGGCTCCTGCTGCTCCTTGGGGACCTGGTGGCTGCTGCTGGGCTTTGGGGGACAGCCCATCACCCATCACCCAGCTCTGGGTGTCCACCACTGGAGTTTTCCTCGTGCAGCTCATCCTTTTCAGCTGTTGGGAGTCTGTGCAGCTGGCGGGGCGTCACTGTCACCTCCTCAGCACGTCATCAGCCTGATGTGACAGCTCACGGACATCCACCCACGCAGGAGCCTTATCAGCCCCGTGGGAGGAGAGCACGGGTCACCCCCCGAGCTGGCAGACCACCTTTGAGCTTGTTTTCCAGGCACAAAATCAGCCCACGGTGGAAATTCCAGAGCTGGTTGCTCACCAGCAGCGCCATCAGCACAGGGGCAGGAGGAAGGAGCGGCCCCGAGCCACCAGGAAAGGTCAGGAGCACAATGGGTGACCTAAACCAGGGCCTCCCCAGCTGCCCCCAGCCACCCTCTGCCCTGCAAAGCCAGAGCTACCAGCAACTGGAAAGCTTTGTCTGAAAAGAATCAGAATCATGGAATGGTTTGAGGGATCTTAAAACTCATCCCATTCCCCCCCTGCCATGGCAGGGACACCTCCCACCATCCCAGGCTGCTCCAAGCCCTGTCCAGCCTGGCCTTGGGCACTGCCAGGGATCCAGGGGCAGCCACAGCTTCTCTGGGCACCCTGTGCCAGGGCCTCACCTCCCTCACAGCCAAGAATTCCTTCCTAACACCTGATCCAAGCAATGTGAAGCCATTCTCCCTTGTCCTGTCGCTCCATGTCCTTGTTCAAGCACCTCCAGCCATGAAGGCAACCTCTAAACCTCTTGTGGCCAACAGCCCCACCACTGCCAAGCTCTGAGCAGAGGGGGAAAGCTCCACGTTCCTCCTGGTGCTCACCCAAGGATGGATGGATGGAGCCACCATCCAGCTGCTCAGAAAGAAGACCCAGCATTTTGGGTACACAAGAAAAACTCAATGTAGGACGGGCACCAAGCTCAGCCCCTTGGCCTCACCTTCGTGGAGGGCTCGGTGTCCTGGGAGAGCTCCTGGTAGGCGCCCACCTCCTCCCAGGTGGCAATGAAGGCATTGGTGGGCACGAAGGCGCCAGCAGAGCGGGGAAAGCCGGCCTGGATGTATCGCACAGCCTGCTCCAGCACGTCCCTGGAGTCATCCTGCCGGTAGTAGATGTTCCCTCTGTCCCCGGAGGTGTCCAGGTCGGCCAGGAAAGGGGCGATGACGGGGAAGTCTGTGGGGAAATCGTCATCCACGTACTGGGTCTCCCTGGGGAAATCCTGGGTGGAGATGACCCCGTTGGTCCCCACCTGCGGGGAGAGCGGTGCAGGGCGCTCAGGAGCTGCAGAGGTGCCACCACTGCTGGTCCCCTGGCCCTGTCCCCCCCCGTCCCCGGGGCAGTGAGAGCCCTGAGGCCGCGTGGCCCCATCCGGCCGGGCAGAAAACAAAGACCTCGGGCTTCTCCATCCCCCAGGGAGCTGCGGCTCGGGGGCCGTCCCAGCTGCAGCCGCTGCTGCGGGGGAACAGCTGCGGGGGAGAAAGCGGAGGAGAAAGCCCTCTTGTTCCTCCGGAGACAGCAGGCAGGAGACCGCGGGAAGGGGGAAATGATGGATGGAGGGATGGATGGATGGATGGATGGATGGATGGATGGATGGGGAAAACACGTGCGGTGAGACAGCGAAGGTGCACATGGAGGGGCAGGGGCGGGCAGGAGGAGGAGGAGGGGATGTGAAGGCAGGGGAGGAAGGGGCTGAGTGGGAGGAAGGACGGAAAGATGGAGGGGTGAAAAGCCAGAGGAAAGGAGGGATGGTGGGACAGAGGGATGGAGGGAAGCAGAGTGGGAAGATGGAGAGAGACAGGGTTGGAAGGAGGGAGGGACAGAGGGTGGAGAGATGAACGGAGTGAAGACGGAGGGACAGAGGCAGATGATGGAGAGGAGGAAGCGGGGTCGGGAGTGAGAGCGGCCGGCGGGAAGGAGGGCAGGGAAGGAGAAGGGAGCGGGGCCAGCGGCACTCACGAAGAGGCGGCGGGCGGCGCGGCCGTAGAGGCGCAGGACGCGGCGGAGCAGCAGCCCCGGAGAGCTCTCGTCGTCCCCGGGCCGGAGCCGGGCATCGCCGCGGGCCGGGCCGTGCGGGAGCAGCCCCGGGCGGGGCAGGGCTGCCCCCAGCGCCAGCACGGCCGCCAGCAGCGCCGCCACCGCCCGCATCCCCACAGCGGCCACGGGAGCCCCCGACGGTGCCGAGCGGAGCGGAGCCGAGCAGAGCCGAGCTGAGCCGAGCCGGACGGGGAGACCCCGGCCCCGCGGGGCGGGACGGCACGGGGAGCAGCCCGAGGGGCGTGGCCAAGCTGCGGCCGTCCCCGTCCTGAGCCAATCAGATCTCACCCAAAATCCGTCCAGGGTTGAGGCCCCCACCCCCCACCCCGCCCCCCCCCGGTACCGGCACCCCGGGGGGAGCGGGGTACCGGAGCGGCGGTGTCCTGAAGGGGCATCCCGGGAAGGAGCGTGGGATCCCCTCTTGGAGCTCCCTATCCCCCCGGTACCGGCATCCCGGGAAGGAGCGTGGGATCCCCTCTTGGAGCTCCCTATCCCCCCGGTACCGGCATCCCGGGAAGGAGCGTGGGATCCCCTCCTGGAGCCCCCCGTCCCCCCCGCTCGTTTCAACGCCCCCGGGGCCGGGCCCGCGTCCAGCCGGGGTCGGGGCCGGGGTCGCGGCATGGGCGGGAGGTTCCGGCCGCTCCCCGCTCGGATCCTGCTCCCTTGAGCCGGGAAGAAACGTGACTCCTGATCCCCCGGGGAGCCGCGGGGGGAGGACACGGGCAGCCCCCGGCCAAAATCTGTGGTGCAGCTCAGCTGGCAGGCGGTCGGCCAGCGGCCCCCCACGCACGCAGGGTCAGCGCTGTTTATCCTTCCTCTGTCCCTATCTCCATCTCGATGGATCGAGGAGAATTCCCTGCCTTTGGGTCGGGGTGGGAGCACCCACAGCGGCGGAGGGCAGGAAGAGCTCAAATCCCGACAGCTGCACTCCATGAGTGCTCCTGGAAATCCGGGTTGGGAGCAGCCAAAAAACTCTGCTCCAGCTTCTTGGAGCGTTTTTCCCCTCCCTGGCCTGGAGACTGCATCTGTCCCAAGGCACAGCCATGCCCGAGGAATGCCAGATAACAAGGAGAGAAGTGTCAAACCCCCCTAGGCTGTCGAGGGAAATAAATCAGGGACACGTTCACGGCATTCCCGACAGGAATCCTCACACGGGAAGCAGCTGGACACCCTCCACCCCATCTATTGCAGTGACAGGGATTTGTTACTGTGGGCCCACTGTCCCCTCCATCCTAGAGAGTGCAATCCACTGCATCCTGCTCACCCTGGGAAGCAGCTCCCACTGGTGCTGGGATTGAAGTCTGGCTGTTCCAGGGATGTCACTGCTGGGGCCACATCTGGAGAAGCCGCTGCCCCTTGGCTGCAGGCAGCTGGCTGGCTCCAGCCCCTGGAAGGAGTCATTTGCCTGGCCATGGAAAACCATTAGGACTTTGAGCGGGGTCCAGGCCAGCTGGACACGATCCGCAGCCTTTGAGGAGCTTCCCGTGCCAAAATGTGGCTTTTCTTTGAAGCTCAAACACCTCCACGGGTCTCCAGGGAAATTGGGAGCTCCTCTGCCTGGTGAGATCCCAGCTGGGATGTCACTCCCATGGGGAATAGTGGCATTTGGTGGCACCTCGGAGGTGAAAATGGGCAGAGGGGGCAGGAAGTGAGGGAGGGAAAGGGAGGAGAGCCTTGCTGCTCCATGAGATCTTTGGGGGCTGTTGAAAATCCAAACCACCAGGCCCTGAGAATCCTCTGGACAGGGAAGGAGGAGCTGCCAGGCTTCCTGCAGCCTTTAGGATGCTAAAAAGTGAATTTTTCCAACTCTCCGAGCCAGGCTGGCACCAATCAGTTAAAAAAAATGGCAGCTGGGAAGAGCTGGGATCTGTCCTGTCCTTGGGAGCAGAATCCTGCTGGCAGGGGCATCCCTGTGGCTTTGGGAGAAGCTGGGAGACTTAGAGGGGATGGGAACAGGGATTGGGGTAGGGATGAGGAAGAGGATGGAGACAAGAAATGGGATGAGGATAAGGATGGGGACTATGATGTGGATGGGGTCAGGGATGAGGATGGGGAGATGGGAATGGGACAGGGAGAGACAGGGATGGACACTGGGATGGGGACAGGAACAGGGATGGGTATAGGAACAGGGATAAAAATTGAGACAAGGATGGGGATGGGGACATGGATGAGGATGGGACAAGGATGATGATGGGCAATAGAAAATGAAGAGGAAGGTGAGGAAAGGAACAAGGATGGGCACAGGAATAGGAATAGGGTTTGGGATGTAGATAGGATTGGGGATAGGGATAGGGATGAGGATGGGGCTGGGGATGAGGATGAAGATGGGAATGGGGACAAGGATGAGGCTGGGGACAGGATATGGATGGGGACAGGGACAGGCTGTGCTGGCCCACACCCCGTGCTGGGAAGGGAGGTGGCACAGGGACCCTGTAATCACTTCCATGTGCCTCGGCAGAGCCTCTGGCTGCAGGGTCCATCCCTCCTCTCAGCCTGGGCATAAAAACAATCCAGAGCCATTTCCTGGGGGGGCATTTTGGGCAGAAACAGATGTGCTGACATTATGGAAACGGGGGAGATCTGGGGTGGGGCTGAGGGTGGATCTGTCCCCACCCAGCAGGCACTCCCAACTCCCTGTGCCAAACTGGGAAATCCAGGACAAGCCACTGCTCAAACTCCTGCCAGATGTGGCTGCCGGGGGTGGGGGGCCGACATTTCCCTGTCCTGCCGAAGGCTCACCTTCCCCTGGGCTGGAAAAGCAGAGGAATCCCTGGCTCAGAGGCTGCCGAGGCAGGAAATCCCGGCAGCCTCTCCCCGGAGCCTGGCAGCGCTGGAATCGCTGAGCCCCTGCAGCCGGCAGAGATAAGGGCAGCAGCAGGAAACGCTCACCTCTCCCGGGGCAGCCAGGAAAGGAAGCGGCATTCCCGGCCATGGGAGAGGGGCTGGGGGCTGCAGCACGCACCAGGGGCTCGCAGGATGCTCGCTGCTTTGGGATGTTTGCAGGGAAGCGGGGCTGGGATAAGAGCAGGGATTCAGCCTGGGCCAGCAGTGTCCCGTTGCCAGCTGGGTTAGTGGGTCATTGCAATAAAGCCCTTGGAGCATTTCTCCCCCTTGGATATGGGAAGGCAGCCCTGCTCAAGGCCAGGGGATTTGGCAGGAAGGGCCAGGAGCCCGTGCCTTGAGCATCCCTGTGCTTCCTGCAGGGAAGGGACAGCCCTGAGCAGCTCCAAAAAGGGGTTTGGCCTCGTGTCCTAAGAAAAAGAGAAGTCTCTGGGGTTCCCTGGGGTTTAGGTTGGAAAAGCCCTCTAAGATCATCCAGTCCAACCTTCCCCCAGCACTGCCAAGGCCACCACTGACATCTCCCCAGGTGCCACATCCACATGGTTTTGAAATCCCTGCAGGATGGTGAATCCACCACTGCACTGGGCAGCTGTGCCTGGTCTGGACAACCATTTTTTTGTAAAGAAATTTTTCCTAATATCCAATCTAAACCTCCCCTGGCAAAATTTGAAGCTGTTTCCTCTTTCCTGTCCCTGTTCCCTGGGAGCAGAGCCCGACCCCCACTTGGTTGCCCCCTCCCTTTCATGGAATGATAAAAAGAAAATTCCTCCATCCTTAAAAACTGGAATCAGCTGGATAATACCAGCCAAATGTGACAGCAGCATTTCTGAGGCTCTGAAAAACCAGACAGAATAAAACCAGACCCCTCAGCAGCCCCCTGGCCCAGGCAGGTGGGCACAGCCCTGGGTTTGAGCCCAACCTCAGGAGCCACCTGAGAACTCCCATCTGGTGCTTCCAGCAGCAGGAACAAGCTCTGAGCTGTGCCAGGGACACAGGGGGACACTCTGGGTGGCTGTGCCCCTCCTCTGGGGTGGCTCTGCATCTCTTCAGGCCACCCTGAGGGATTTCTCCATCTCCCTGCCTTCCCTGGAGCTGTTTCCTTTCCTGGGAGCATCCTGAGGGAGTTGACACAGGGCAGGTCCCCCCCAGCACAGCACCCAGCTCTCCACATCTCCATTTTTGGGAACACTTCTCATTAATTTTCCTCTCAATTCCTTGACTCAGCTTCGCCTCGTGACTCAGCAGCTCCTCGCCCTGGCCTGCTGCAGGGACACAATTCCCAAAGGATCCAGGGATGGATTCACTTCCCAGTGGCTCCAGGGTTGGATTCACCTCCCAAAGGATCCAGGGATGGATTTACTTCCCAAAGGATCCAGGGATGGATTCACTTCCCAGTGGATCCAGGGATGGATTTCCTTTCCAGTGGATCCAGGAGTGGATTCACTTCCCAATGGATCCAGGGATGAATTCACTTCCCAAAGGATCCAGGGATGGGTTCACCTCCCAATGGATTCAGGGATGGATTTCCTTCCCAAAGGATCCAGGGATGGGTTCACCTCCCAATGGATCCAGGGATGGATTTCCTTCCCAGTGGATCCAGGGGTGGATTCACTTCCCAATGGATCCAGGGATGGATTCACTTCCTAAAGGATGCAGGGGTGGATTTACTTCCCAAAGGATCCAGGGATGGACCCACTTCCCGGTTGATCCAGGATTTGCTCAAGGACAGCCACCCATGCTGCAGGTGACTTCCCACCCTCCAGCTGTGACCCAGCAGGGATCTTTCTGCTCAGGGCATCACAGGTGTTTGTGGGAGAGAGGTTTTCCTCATGGAAAGTTGGAATTACGAGGTCTAGAACACCATGGAAGAACAAGATTTTTATAAAAAGAGGGTTTCTTGGCAACTTGGCTGGAGCAGAAATGTGGGAAAAGGTTTCAGTGCATGGAGAGGAGGAAAACCAAGATGGATGAGGCTTGGAACGACCAGGTCTAGTGGAAGCTGTCCCTGCCCGTAGCAGGGGCTGGAATGGGATGAGATTTAAGGTCCCTTCCAACCCAGACCATTCTGGGATTCCAGGATTAAGCTGCTGAATCCTCCCAGCTGCAAAGTGAAGCTCAGAGCTCCCAGCACCCCCAGGAGCCGAAGACTCACAGGATGGAAAAACGTGGAAAAGCTTTAGCTCAGAGCTCCCAGCACCCCCAGGTGCTGGGAGCTCTGAGGAGACTCACAGGATGGAAAAACGTGGAAAAGCTTTGAGCCATCTGAGCCCCAGCCCACAGAAACACTCCAGGTTTTACAATGTATTTTAAGACATAAAGGTAAAGAAAAGGTTTTTTTTTTTCTAAATCTCTGGGGCTCTCCTTCCT